CCTTTACCACTTTTGATGTGTGTTTGGGGTCATTGTCCTGTTGGAACACCCAACTGCGCCCAAGACCCAACCTTCATGCTGATGATTTTAGGTTATGTTGAAGAATGTGAAGGTAATCCTCCTTCTTCATTGTCCCATTTACTCTCTGTAAAGCACCAGTTCCATTGGCAGCAAAACAGCCCCACAGCATAATACTCCCACCACCATGCTTGATTGTAGGCATGGTGTTCTTGGGGTCAAAGGCCTCACCTTTTCTCCTCCAAACATATCGCTGGGCATTGTGGCCAAAAAGCTCGATTTTTGTTTAGTCTGACCACAGAACTTTCCTCCAGAAGGTCTTATCTTTGTCCATGTGATCAGCAGCAAACTTCAGTCGAGCCTTAAGGTGCCGCTTTTGGAGCAAGGGCTTCCTTCTTGCACGGCAGCCTCTCAGTCCATGGAGATGCAAAACACGTTTAACTGTGGACAATGACACCTGTGTTCCAGCAGCTTCTAATTCTTGGCAGATCTGCCTTTTGGTGATTCTTGGTTGACTCTTCATCCTCCTGACCAATTTTCTCTCAGCAGCAGGTGATAGCTTGCGTTCTCTTCCTGATCTTGGCAGTGATGAAACAGTGCCATGCACTTTATACTTACAAACAATTGTTTGCACTGTTGCTCTTGGGACATGCAGCTGCTTTGAAATGGCCCCAAGTGACTTTCCTGACTTGTTCAAGTCAATAATTCGCTTTTTCAGATCCATGCTGAGCTCCTTTGACTTTCCCATTGTAGCATTTGTGGGCGTTTGTATCCAATGAGCCCTATTTAACTGGTCTAAGAGAAGTCACCAGCTGTCGTCACTCATAATCACTCACAAGAAGTTAAGAGGCCATGCTATGAAGCTCAGTTCACTGACAACTTTCTAAGTCACCAAAATTGCTAATTCATGTTGCTGTATGTATATTTTTGACCCAGCAGATGTGATCACTTTTTTCTGTTAACCCATAATAAAGTCATTAAAGAACCAAACTTCATGAATGTTTTTTGTGACAAAGAAGTATCTGTTCCAATCACTCTATCAGAGAAAAATCAGAGTTTTAGAAATAACGGGACACTCGGTAGAGCCATTATATTATATTCTTTACAAGTGTATGTAAACTTTTGACCACAACTGTATAGATATATATATAAGACTGGTATCTTCAGTATATGATATATAATACAAATACATATATATATATATTATATATATCATGTTGGGTGTGTGTTGTGTGGTGTGTTGTGTTGTTGCTATATGTACAGTGCAGTATGTAATATCGCCCGGATCAACAAGGTCCGCGTCAGGTGTTGAGGAACCAGGGCACCCTGACGAAAAGTGGGCTACTGGAACAAGAAGGCATCGGTGGGCAAGAGACGAAAACAGGGCGTTGTTGGAATGCTACTACGCAAGTAACCCCGGCGGAAGGGGCTACATGAATAGGATGCGGGACCTATGGATTCTTCGATACCCAACATCCACAATGACGGCGAAACAACTAGTAGCTCAGTGTTCCAACATTCGAAAGAAGGGACTGCTCTCACAGCTAGAGATTGACGAGGTACAACACAAATGCTACGGCAAGGAGGAGTCAGGACGCCAGGTCAGGGGGGAGATATCATCACCCCCACCCGAGATTGGGTACATAGCCCCAAGTGCGATAGGAGAAGGATCGTTGAGTGCGAGAGGAACTGACCTGAAAAATAGGATCATGGCCAAGCTTGAAACCTGGATCCCCCGTAGCCGGTTACCAAGATTACGTGAAGTACCCTCAGAAGGTCTGCTAGATGATGTTAATGCAGCACTACGGACGATACCTACAACCACGATTACCGACACTAACAAGCTGATCTACAATACGGCAGCAGTGATCAGTGAGATGCTTGGCTACAAGTTGAACAGCCACAAGGGGCAGTACCCTCCATGGAGAAGGAGGCTAGAGGGCAAGATCAAAGTAGCACGGAGGGAGGTTAGCCAACTAACGGAGTTGCAGAAAGGTGCGACAAAGAAGGTGCATAAGAAATACAGCAAGCTGTCCATACCTGAGGCCTTGGAAACTGCCAAGCAAAGACTCACAGCCTTGGCCAGCCGCTTGAGGAGGTACACCAGAGAGATAGAAGGCAGGAGAATAAACCAGCTGTTCTCCACAGAACCAGCAAAGGTGTACTCTCAGTGGCAAGGGAACAATAAGAGAACAGCACCACCAAGGCTGGAGACGGAGCAATACTGGAAGAGCATATGGGAGAAGGACGCAACCCATAACGGCAATGCTCAGTGGCTAGTGGATCTGAGGGCAGACCACAGCGACCTCCCTGAACAGGGTCCAGTAACCATCACAGTGGCAGATATCCAAGAAAGGGTCTCCAGTATGAAGAGTTGGACAGCACCAGGGCCCGATGGTTCACGCCTACTGGCTAAAGAAGCTGACTGCACTCCACGAGCGTCTGGCAGCACAAATGAACCAGCTGCTAGTTAACGAGAGACACCCGGAATGGCTAACCGAAGGTCGGACGGTCCTGATCCCCAAGGACCCCAAGAAGGGACCGGTCCCCTCCAACTACCGACCAATAACCTGCCTCAGTACTACATGGAAGCTCCTGTCAGGCATCATATCGGCTAAGATGAACAGGCACATGGGTCAATACATGAGCGGGACACAGAAAGGAATTGGCAAGAATACCAGAGGCGCAAAACACCAGCTACTGGTAGACAGAACAGTCAGCCGAGACTGCAAGACCAGACTGACCAACCTGTGCACTGCCTGGATTGATTACAAGAAGGCCTATGACTCAATGCCCCACAGCTGGATACTGGAATGCCTAGAATTGTACAAGATCAATGGGACCCTAAGAGCCTTCATCAGGAACTCAATGGGGATGTGGCGTACAACACTAGAGGCCAACTCCAAGCCCATAGCACAAGTCACCATCAAGTGCGGGATCTACCAAGGAGATGCTCTGTCCCCACTGCTGTTCTGCATAGGCCTGAACCCCCTCAGTGAGATCATTAACAAGACTGGTCATGGCGAGCCAGCCAGGAGGAAGGTTTGAAGAACTTCCAGCACGAGAGTGAAGCAGAAGCCTGGTTAGCGCCATTAGCGGCTAACGTTAGCGCTACCGCACCGCTGAAGAAAAACCTTTCTCCAAGCACCGGACCTAAAATCTGACGGACTAAAGACAAGCTTGTGAGTACCCACAATGGAGGTAGAAGCCCTACGAGATAAGATCACCGCCACACTCTGCCAGCTAAGTCGTGATCAGCTCATAGAAGTGGGTTATAATGTGAAAGGCTTTGCTACACCGCTAGATGAGCCTACAAAAGACACTTCCAGACGCCAACTGATGAAAGTTATAGAACATAAACTGGACGAGGTGGAAAACAGTTATACACCAGACGATGCTGTACAGTTTGTGAAAGAACTTTTATCGTTTTTGGGCGAATATAAAGCTAAAGACAATGCGGCCGAGAGTGATTTTTCCCGCCCTTCAGACGAAAGAGACAAGTATGACGAGCTGCAGGAAGAAATTAGAGCGATAGGGCAGAAACTCAAGATGGCGGACGCTGCCCCGAGCCTCGGCCAGAACCTGCCGTCTTCTAAAGTACCAGAGGTGACAATTCGCAGGGAGTTTCGCATCTGTGGCCAAATAGGTGAGGGAGGGCAGCGCGATCGGCTGTCCTATACCAACCTGCTGCATCAGATGGAAAACGGACTCCGCAAAGGCCACAGTGAGTCAGAAGTTATTGAAGCAGTGATAAGAGCCATCAATCCAGGTCTCAAACTGCGTGATATGCTTGAAATAAAGACTGATTTGACACTCACACAGTTAAAGACAATATTAAAAGGACATTACAGAGAAGATGACACATCTGATTTGTACCAAAAGCTGATAAATATTTCCCAAGATCCAAAAGAGTCAGCTCAAGACTTTTTATTCAGAGCCATTGAGCTTAAAGACGACTCCAAAATCCCTTCAAGGAACATACGTACAAAAGAGTTTTTCTGACACACCAATGGGGCGTTCAATGCCATCTTGTAAATATGAGTACTCTGGCAGAATAACAGTTCAAATGAAAAATACACCAGAACAAACAAGCAAACAAAAAAGAAGTGTGGGGTACCTTTGAACCAATGAACCAAGTATAACCATTTATACTTTTTAACATAACCCGACCCCGTCAATATGTGTATCTCTCACACTCTCCCCCACTCGAGAAATGTCGTCCCGACATAAATGTACCTTATAATCTACAATCCATAGAGAACAATAGAGTGGCATGGACTATTTACCAGGTTACATTACACCTTTTTATTTTTAAGTTACCCAAACTACCGTGCACTGTAGTTGTGTATACTCCTGATATAATCTGTCCTTGCTCATCTGTCAGTTACTGTTCTAAAGCCTGTCAGGGACAACACTGGCACCATCACAAACATGTATGTAAAGCGGTGAGGCTAGTTGAACAACATTTGAGGGAAAGAGAGAAAAAGGGGTGGTTGTCATACATGGGATATTCTGACCTTCTATCAGATAAGCAAGGACAAAAATTAGTGAAGCTGATTGGTAGACGAAAAATGGTGAGATGCACCTTTGACAATGTACCAGTCACCGCATTGTGGGACACGGGTGCACAGGCTACCGTAATAAATGAGAACTGGAGAGTCGAGCACTTACCTCACACCACTATCAGGGGGATAGATGAACTCTTAGGTTCAGAACCATTAAATGGGCTCGCAGCTAATCAGACAGAGATACCATTTATGGGGTGGGTCCCTGTAGAGTTTAGACTGACGGGGGTGGAGACGACCAGCTCTAGTCTCCTAGTGCCCGTATTGGTCTCTAGTGACCCAAATGTAGCTCAGGATCCCATTATTGGATACAATGTTATAGAAGAAATCATCAACGAGCAACTTAAACAACAGGGTGTTAAAAACAGTGACTGTGCTGCAAATATTGTGAGTAGTGCTTTTGGTATTGACGTCGGATCTGCTAAGACTTTTATCCAGTTGATAGAGACACATCGAACAGCTGCGGAAGAGATCCAAGTCAAGACAGGGCGGAGTAAAGTTGTTTTAGGCCCTAGTGAAGCTACTACCATTCGCTGTCGCACACGCATACAGGCTGACGAGGACACTGTAATGTTATTTTGTCCTGTTCTGAACCCCAGCCTGCCTGAGGGGCTTCATTTGCAGGAAGTATTGTTTAAAGTAAAAAGGGGCAACTCAGCCATGGTCCCAGTATCTGTCACAAATACCACATGCCATAATATTACTGTAGATCCGCGTGTTGTCCTGGGGCACATTGAGGGCGTAAAAGCAATATACCCAGCTGCCCTAAAACCTGTAGAAACTCCAACAACTAAAACAGCAGACGATGCAGGTGTTGAAGTCCCATTAGCCCCCACAGGTGAGACAAGTGGTGTTTGGGATCCCCCTGTAGTTCTAGACCATCTAACGAGTGGCCAACAGTCGGCGGTGAGGATGATGCTCAGGGAGGAATGCAAAGCTTTTGCAAAAGACGAAAATGATGTAGGCTGCATTCCTAGCCTTCGGATGCACATCACTCTCAACGACCAAACACCAGTTCAAAAGACTTACAATAGTGTGCCTAAACCTCTGCATCAGGAAGTAAAAGCTTACCTGCAAGACTTGATCAATAGGGGGTGGGTCACGAAATCCAAGTCGCCTTATTCGTCACCGATAGTCTGTGTTAGAAAAAAATCCGGTGACCTCAGACTTTGTGTGGATTATCGAGAACTTAATCGCAAATCGGTGCCTGACAGACATCCTATTCCTAGGATACAGGACATGTTGGATAGCCTTACTGGTAGCTCCTGGTTTACAGTACTAGACCAGGGGAAGGCTTATCATCAAGGATTCCTAGACGAAGACAGTCAGCCACTCACTGCATTCATCACCCCCTGGGGTTTATACCAGTGGGTTAGAATCCCATTTGGACTCAGCTCCGCCCCAGCAGAGTTCCAGAGGAGCATGGAGGAGTGTCTTTGGGGTCTGCGTGATGATATCTGTCTACCGTACCTTGATGACAATTTGGTCCACAGTAAATCTTTTGAGGACCATGTTGAGCATGTAAGAGCCGTGCTACAAAGGTATCAGAAACATGGGGTCAAACTTACTGCTAAGAAATGTGAACTGTTCAAGCCTAAGGTCAGGTTTTTGGGTAGAGTGGTGTCAAAAGATGGCCATAGTATGGATCCAGCAGAAGTCGCCTCCGTGATGTCACTTAAAGAGAAACATCCTAGTACAGTGGGGGAAGTGAGACAGATTTTGGGCTTCCTATCTTATTATAGAGCCTATATACAGGACTTTTCACGTATCGCCAAACCTTTGTATGAACTGCTAGCAGCCCAAACAAATGCTAAAAGTAGCCCACAGGACTTAAAAACACAGAACAAGAGAAGGAAGGAGAAAAACAAACAGGCTAAAGGACAGTTGCCTTCATCAGCCCCTGTGAAATGGACAGAGTCACACCATCAGGTTTTGTCTTACTTAGTCAATAAACTGGCCAGTCCTCCGATCCTAGGCTACCCTGATCTAAACCAACCATTTGTGCTTCATACTGATGCTTCTCAAGCAGGGTTAGGAGCAGTGCTCTACCAGCGCAGTAATGGCAAGTTAAGAGTCATAGCTTATGGATCTAGAACGTTAACGCCGCCAGAAAAAAATTACCATATGCATGCTGGCAAACTAGAGTTTTTAGCTCTCAAATGGGCTGTCTGTGAGCGCTTCAGAGATTATTTGCTGCATGCGCCATCTTTTGTGGTTTATACAGATAATAATCCACTCACCTATGTGTTAACGACAGCAAAGTTGAATGCATCAGGTCAGCGTTGGGTGGCTGAGCTCGCAGATTTCAACTTTACGATAAAATACAGGCCAGGAAAAACAAATGCAGATGCAGATTTTTTATCCAGGATGCCCCTCGATTTTGAGGACTATATGAACTGCTGTACACAGACGGTTAGCCAGGACGTGGTTGCAGCCTCACAGCAGGGCATATTAGTACAGCAAACAGAAGCTCTAATGTTTAACGCTGTCTCCTTCCACACCCTTCAGCATCAAACACAAGCAGAGGAACTGCTGGACATGATTCAGCCAATACCGAGAGAGGAAATCTGTGCAGCACAGCGGCAAGACCCCGTGATAGGTAAAATGTACGAGTCTGTAGTGCAAAACAAAAGGCCCACCACACAGGAAATTAAAACTGAGAGCACTGAGTTTAAAGCATTGGCTAGAGAGTGGAGCAAACTGAAAATCAGAGAGGATGGAACTATGTTCAGAGAGACTCGACACAAAAAACAACTAGTTCTCCCCTCAGTTTACCACCCACTAGTGCTCAAGGAACTACACCAACAGATGGGCCACTTGGGATCAGAAAGGACCCTAAATTTAATTAGGGATCGTTTCTTCTGGCCTAAGATGCAAAGAGACATTGAACACTTTGTCAGTAATGTTTGTGAGTGTCTCAAACAGAGGAAGCCAAACAGACAGGCACGGGCACCTATGTTGAGCATAGAGACCACTCATCCATTTCAGTTGGTTTCAGTTGACTTTTTGCACCTGGAGCAATGCAAGGGGGGGTGTGAATACATACTTGTAGTTATGGACCACTACACCCGCTTCGCTCAGGCCTACGCAACTACAAATAAGTCAGCTAAGACTGTAGCAGAAAAACTATTCAATGATTATTGTCTCAGGTTTGGTTTTCCAGAAAAATTACACCACGATTTGGGGCGAGAGTTTGAGAATAGACTGTTGCACCATTTAAAAGAACTGGCTGGTGTTAAAGGGTCACACACTACTCCTTATCACCCACAAGGAAATGGGCAGACCGAAAGATTCAACAGGACCTTGCTCTCGATGTTAAGAACACTAACAGAGGAACAGAAAAGAGACTGGAAAAGCCACCTCCATAAAGTTGTACATGCCTACAATTGTACTGTTAATGAGGCCACTGGCTACCCTCCTTTTCTCCTAATGTTTGGTAGGTCACCACGGTTACCGGTTGACCTTCTCTTTGGCATTGAGCAGGAGGACAGTTCAGGCTCCTACCAGGACTATGTGGACAGATGGAGAAGGAGAATGGCTGAAGCTTACACTGTCGCCTCCAAAAATGCAGCTAAGTCAGCTGACCGAGGTAAAAGGCAGTACAACAAAAGTGTGCATGGTCCACCACTTCAAATAGGGAGTCGTGTCCTTGTTAGAAATGTTGTGGAGAGGGGTGGGCCAGGTAAAATCCGCTCCTATTGGGAAGACAACATCTACATCATTAAAAGACAAAAGGGGGAGGACAGTCCTGTGTTTGAGTTAGAGCCAGAGAATGGTAAAGGCAGGACAAGGATTTTGCACAGGAATATGTTGTTGCCTTGCGATTTTCTTCCGCTCCCAGCAGATAAGGAGGCAACTGTAACTAGTACTAAAACAAGGAAAAGACATTATAACAAACGAAAACAAACATGCATGACTCCGACACAAGTGGGGAGTGAGGAGGAGGAGGACACAGATGAGTTTTCTGATGCGGTTTTCACCTGGCCTTATCCTGAGCCTCAGTGTTCACCCACATTGGACCCCACAGCGGCAGAGTTTATGCCACTAAGGGACGGGGGTGAGCCAGATGAGCTTCCTCACATGTCAGGAGATGGCCAGGGGGACCCCAGCCAAGCTGATGAGGAGAAAATGGACAATATGGAACCAGAGGATGTGGCTATTGTGGGTGCAGGGGAGGTGGACAGCAGCTCTGATGTCGAAGAGGCTTTGGAAACAGACCAGCCAAGTCCATACCCAAAGAGAGAAAGGAGGAGACCACAGACTTTGACCTATAGTAAACTTGGACAACCAAGTCTTGAAGAAAGAATAGTGGCCACCAAATGTGTGAATATTCAAGGTTACTGGCGACCTTGGTAAAAGAGGAAGATATAATGTTTACACTTGGTACC